TTCCAATATCTCCCCAAATCTCCCCATATCTCCCCACATCTCCCCGTATCTCCTCATATCTCCCCAAATCTCCCCAAATCTCCCCATATCTCCCCCCGCAGGGGGGGGAGTAATACCTCGTCCCCCTGTTCGAGGACTCGAACCTTTGCGGGATACCCGCAAAGGGGGGGCCCATCAGGGTCAAGGGGGTTTCCCCCCCCCCCCCCCCCTCCCCCCTCCCCCTCCCCCTCCCCCCCTCCCCCTTCCCCGATGCACCCCTCCCCCCGCGCCTGTCGCCCGGCACTCCCCGGCACTGAGAGCACGCCGAGCCGTGTCCATCGAAGTCAAGAGCGGCAGCCCCTCCTCCCTCCCCCTCCCAACACGCGCGCCAACCACCCCTGAACTAACTCCCGCCACCCCCCCCCCCCACACACACACACCCCGCCCCGCCCGCAGGGACATCCAGCTCGCTCGCCGGATCCGCGGCTCGAGGGAGTCTCTCCGGTGAGAGGGAGGGCCGCCATACCCCAACCTCCTCCTGGCAGCAACAAGTCTGCCCCCACTCCCGCTGCTCCGCTCGCCACGCCGCCGAGGAGACTCCTCTGCCGGCTGGCGCCCTTACGCCTGATCAAGGGCGCGTTTGCCCCCCGTGCGGTCTCCTGGCTCCGGGGCGAGGGGGGGGGGGGTATTTGGGTCTGTACAGTCACAACAGGCTCCGCCATCGCATGGACAGCAGCTTTTACTATGAGTTTGACCGCCGGTGTTGGCTGTTGCGGCCAGCTTTTTGTCGTCTGTTTTTGGTAATGTGTGTGGTCTGGGGCGGGGGCGTCCATCACATGTCTTGGTCGCAGTGAAACCACCCCCTTTCCAACCGTCTCAGGGACGGACGCATTTGCCCCCTTTCAAAGGCGGTTTCGAAGTTGATGAGACCTCGTCCCCCCCTCTCCAATGAAAAGCGTAAAAAGAGGCGCGGAACAGGCCGGAACCGCCGCTTGCACGTGGGTCACACAATGGCAGCGCTCCAGACGCGCTCTGGTAGCTGCCAATGAAGCTGCAGCCCATCGCGCGCGCGCCGGACGGCCACTGCACCTCCACTGCATTGCCCTCCTGCACCGAGCGACGCGTCAAACCTTTGTTGCTGCCCATGACCGCCGGCGGCTCCGAGCTCGGGCGAGCGAGCCCTGGCTGAGCTGAGCCACTGCGGTCGCAATTGCAGCGCTGCGGTCGGTGCAGAGTGGCCGTGCGCGTACGGCGTCGTACGCGCACGGCCGCTCTGCCTCAGTGGCGTGCGGCTTGGGCCAACTGGAGGTCGCTCTCCGACCTCGCTCGCCGAGCTCACAATCCGGCGCGAGCCGCATCGAGTGGAAGTTCGACTTCAGCTGCCGCGAGTGGATGGACTGCCTTGTCGAGTGCAAGCAGTTGGGCTCCGCCGGGAGCATGTGGTGCAACATGTTCTCTGGGCGCCAGCAGACGCGAGCGCGCGAGCGCGTGTTGAAACGGACGCTCCATAGCAACACTCGAGATACACTCGAAGGGGTGCACGTTTTCTTTTCGGGTTTCGTGGGTTATAGTGCACTTGGAAGCGACGAAACCGAAGACGGTTGGCCCCGGGGTGGTTTCACTGCGTTGTATTACTGCATGCATGTACGCGATAGACAGCGGAGTTTTCGTGCCAGGAGCTGGAGCAGCTGCGCAGCTCGCCAGGTCCGCGCCCGAGCTCGATCCCCCAGCCTTTCCAAATGTTTGAGAGCGGACACCGTCCGGAGAGCTTCAAGGTGCCCACAGCTTCGCTCCCCCCGCCCCGGCCGGCCCCGCCCCCCCGCCCGCGGGGTCTGAGGGGTGTCGCGCCCTCCTCCGCTTGCCCTGGGGGGTGTCACATCGAGCAGCCGGAGGGGAAAGAGCCGGTCCCCGGGGCCTAGGCGGCCGGCGGCGAGATGCCAACCTGCAGCCCGTTCCGCACGACGGAGTCGCCGGGCATACGGCGCAGCACCTGGGTGGGGCGGGAGCAGCAGTGGGGGGCGCCACCGCCCCCACCCCCCTCCCCCCTGCACGCACACACACACGCACACGCACACGCACACACACGCACACACACACGCATCTCGGGCCATCTCTGGCGATCTCGGGTGACCTCGGGCGATCTCGGGCGATCTCGGGCGATCTCGGGCGATCTCGCGCCTGCGTCAGGTTGACCTCGAGCCGGCCGAGGGGGGTGGGGAAGGCGAGGCCGACGCCGATGCAGCTGCGGAGGCCTAGAATGGACAGGGATGGCATCGCTGCAATGGCTAGT